GCTCTTCCTTTCAGCTAGTCAATAGCAGGGGGAGAAAGGATGGAGGTGAGCGAGAACCACAGCAGCGCTTAGCCAAGCCCCACTGTGTTGGGACAGGGGGCTGGTGTCACCCAGTCGGGCACACATTGCCTTTGAAGCCTCTTCTGAACTAAGCGCTCCCTCGTTGACACCTATTGAGCTCCACCGTCCTGAACAGGCCTGCTGCTACAGCTTTCTGCCAGTGTAGGTACAGTGTCCGCCCATCACCGCCTCCCACCCCTCCACCCGGGGGATGTTGCTTTTTAGTTGCTATTATCAGTTTTATATCAAGAGTTCTTTGCTGGAGCCAGGAGGGCTTTTGCAACAAGTGCCAGGTTTGGCCTCGCTTGTGTAGAAGAGAGAAAAAAACAAAAGCCGAGGCCCGAGAACAGGAGTTCGCTTTCCGCAGCAGCCAGAGCCCGCAGGCAGGAGAGGGCCGGGCCCTTCCCTGCGGGCTGGGAGCTGCCTGGGGGCGGAGGGGCGAAAGCCTCTCTCGGGTAGATGCCGGCACAGCTCTGCGCCTCTGAACACAGCATGGACCACCCGCCCCTGCAGCCTTCGCTTCGCTTGCGGTCATTCCGATGTTTAAGCCAGCCCTCCCCGGCATTTACTTGGCACAATGTTTACTGGCTGAAGTTTTCATACAGAAATCAGCCATTCGGAGTCCAGAACTCCTTGGTGTTGCTTGCAGTAACTGTGAAGCGCTTCTGCGTAATCGGCCGACAAGAGCTGACGCGCGTTCCATGTCTTCCTGCCCCAGCTGGCCCAGCTGAGATGGCAACGAGGAGCACTGCCTCCCCTCGTGTAGCAACCGCCTGTGCGCAACGCCTTTGGTGCATGCGGCACGATCGTTTTAAGCGTTCAAAAGTTGTAAACGGAAGGTTTTTGTTACTCAATAAAGAGCTTCGCTCTGATGGTCTGGGGAGGGTTTTATGGCCACGGATGGGTACGTGCGCGTTTCTGCGTCGTGGCGAATAAAAGCAAACGCTCTAAAATGCATGGCCGAGGGGGGGGAGGGGGGGGGTGTTAAATTGGGCAAATTACTTCCCTAGGAAAGCTCTCTCGCATTCAGTCGTAACGCATAAAGACAGAACACGCATTTGCAATTGGCACTGTTATTTTATTAGTACGAGTATACTGAAACAATAAACTTGTACTGGTATACAGACAATTTCTTTAAAACAATTTTGTTCAAATTTTGAATCAAACATTGTTTTATTATAATAATGAAATAATTTCTACCTAGAAAACCTGCAAGCACCATCAAAGAAAGGGACCATAAAATTCAATAAACAGACGCGAGTGTATCCTACAAATAGACACACCACCATTAGAAAATAGAATATGAATTCTTCCATTTTTTTTAATATTTGTTTTAAAAAAGCTAGTGCAAGTACAATATTTTACACTGGAATTACAGAGAGTATGCACGCATATGGAAAAAAGTTCTCCTGTCACAATAAAAGCTCTTAACTATGTCTGTATGCACTTAAAATCTTCTCCTCTTTTCAATAAGGTGCAAAACGTTATTCCCTCCCTATTTCTCCTTTGTACTGGCCATGTCAGCTCGATTTCCCCCCAACACAAAGCTGCGATATCCCTTTTACTGGGCCTACACTAGGAACTACACTGGAAGTGTGATTTGCAACAACCCTCATTAGTAATACCAGGCGATTTCAAAAAAAAAACAAAACAAAAAAAAAAAGACCTCAAAAACTACTGCTGTAGAATGGCTGAACCTTTCCCTGGCACGGCCCCGCGCCGAGCGCCACCGCCGGCTGCCGGGAGCGGTGACATAGCTAGTACAAAATGATTTTCAGTA